ATTTTTATATATAACTACCACGGTTCAGTACTCTAATCCTGCATTTAACTGACATCCCATTGTAGATAATACAGAGAATTTACATTTCTGCTAATCAACACCACTTTTGTTCTTATGCCTGGTCCATTGTATTTCTTGCTTTATGTTTAATAACTCTTAAACAAGAATTAAATTAGCGATATTGGCAAGTTATCCAGGGCAGGTCTTTCTACACTAAAATTCACTTCTTTCATATTATCATTGTTGTCACCTGTAAAGTAAAACGTAACAGAATATTCATCCTTGCCAGGTATTTCTCTTAAGTATCAAACAATACAGTTCTTAAAAGTCTGGAGGTTTGATGTAACCACTAGAAAGTGAAGTCTTTCAGTAATAATGCAAATGGTTTATGAACCCAGTGGGTCTCTTGTTGATTTTGTATTGATGCCTGTTGTGATTTGCCCAAACTCTTTCCGATTTTTCCATGTTGCCTTCCAGTTAACAGCAAGTTCCCAACTACATCAGTGTTCTCTGAGTTGATTTCTTTCATGTATTCTCCTTTCTGTCTTCATTACTCCTCCTGATACCCATCAGTGTAGGTAGTCACTGACATAACTAATTAAGTTAATCCTAAACATCAGACTGAACACAGGATTTGGCTCCTTAACTATTCCCGACCTGCTGCCCTTAAATAAAGGTCTCTTGTTCTTTGCAGAGGGTTAACCAACACTTTTACTCAAGGCAAGGGACTTTAATTATTTTAATTTTAAGGTGACTTTATTTCTTTTGTAAGGACACTCAATTTATGCCATGCATTTCGTGACTGCGACATTCTTGGACTTCAAATCTTCTTTACCTCCCACCCTGCTAAGCAATTCTTCCGATTCTTATAGCCATCCCTTTTAATCTGCTGGAGGGTGAGATATAATTTGTTCCAATGAGCAGTCTATAGATTTCAGAGCCCACATGGGCCAAGCTGTCTTTTGAAGATGAAAGCCAAAAGATACCCAGAGCACCTCAGGGCAATGAAAATACAGGTGATACTTTTTTAATACCAAGCTGACTTCCCTCAGGGATTAATGACAGAGAAAGAAAATCTTGACACAAATGCCCCCTGCTACAGAACCAGACTGAAAGAAAGTGTAAGATCAGAGATCACAGTCGTTGCTTGGATGGCAAGCTTGAGCCGAACGGTTTCCTCCTGTCTATAAAGGGAGATGAAAAAGGCAAATGAAAATTAGAAAAACTAACATATCTGCTGCTTCTCTCCCTCAAGGAGAGAAAGAAAAATAATAAAATGAACAGAAAAGCATTTTCTACAAATAATATTTTGGGATCAGTGAAGCTAGCTCTCAGCTCTATGCCAGTAAAGCATCAAACTAACTTACCATAGCAAGTAAGATCCTGGGACCACGAAACAGGGAGCCATATGTGTGAACTCTATAATCAATCTCCTAGCACATCCTGGAGATAAAAATATTGGAGCACTAGCCTCAATAAAGAAAGCTTCCAGTGATGATGAAATTGTCAGAAAAGCACACATACATACACAAAAACGGCACGAAAGGTGCTTAGACACCAAAAAAAAAAATCACAACAAAAAACATTCTTTCAGCAAATAAAAGAAACACAAAACCTACAGGCTTGTGGGACAATTAAGTCATCTCAGCCCTATCAGACTGGTGACTCTGTTATGTACCACCTCTCAGAAGACTGGGCAAGCACTATTCCCTTACAACAGGAACACACGCAAACTGTGGACAAAGAAAAATAAATAAGTGAAGGGTTAGAGGGAAAGAAAAATCAAAGTTTCATTGTTATAATTACACATCAAGGTGATAAGGGTAATTTTTCTTAAATCAGAAAATAAATTCTAGGTTCAAGTTCCCTGAAGGATATAAAATATTAGAGGATTTTTTATGGTTGTAATCACAAACTCATTTCTCCAGCCACTACTGGCCGTGTCTAATTAGGGCAAAGTATGTTAATGATACAGCGGCACAGCCCAGAGACGTCTTCAGTTGCAATATTAATTGC